GGGACGTTAGAGTTTGACGGCACTTGCAATATAACAAAGTCATATAAGAGCCAAAGATTAGTAGAGCTGTTACAAGGGAGTAACAAACACAAGATGGTTTAGTTTAGTTTTAGAAAGAGTTTTACGGCTCCTGCAACTCAATAAGGTCATATAAGTGCTGAAGAATAGATGTGTTACAAGAGAGTAACATACACAAAAAAGAAGGAGTGATAAGGATGACAGATGTTTGAAAGGAAAGAAGGAACAAACTACACCGGCGCGCCCACCAACCACATACACATACAAAAACAAAACACAAAAAAAACCAAGAACCCCACAAGGACAACAACAAACTGACAACCTACCAGTTTTGTTATACTGCAAATTGTCTAGAGCTACTAGCACGAGCGGTGGAAAGGGAAGCAAGTCCGGCAGCTGTGGACCTGTGTTCCCGACGTTGACGCGACCCTCTCGCAGACAGCGCTCTACTTCCTCCTGCACCTCAGGACGAAGGATTTCTGGGAAGGGTATTTTTTTGCTTTAGTTTTTGTACAAGTTTTACGGCACTTTCAACACAAATAGGTCATTTAACAGTTTGCCTTCACATCTCGCTGATTGGCGAAGTTTATCACCTAGATCTAGTTTCTTTGGATTTTCCCCAAAACACCTTTGCCTTTGATGGCAAGAGTTTTTACTATATGAGCCTTGTGATGGCAAAGTGTTAAGTGCTGAAGATGAGAGGTGTTACTGTTAAAGAGTAATATGCAAAGAAAAGGCAATAGATGATGTTTCACAGAAAAGAATCAGCAGAACACCCGCCCAACACCCACGCAAAGGGACAAAATCATCGCCCTGAAGGCAAAAAGTTGAAGACTAGGAAGAAATTGTGCTGTAAACAAATGCTACACTAAGGACCCTGGCCAAAGCAGACATGGTCAGTGGGTTTATTGACCGTTGGCTACTTCGGATGTAAAAGTGCATTAAGACTAACGGTTACTATGTTGAATAGAGAACATGTTTGTGAGGATATGTCAATGTGCAAAATTTTATGTCAGTAAAATAAAATAAAAATTGTTGACTTTACAGAACAGGGAAACCTATTTTTAGGACTTTGCCGCCTCATCTCACTGATTGGTGATGTTTACCACCCAGTTTCTTTGGATATTCCCCAAATTAAGATGGCAAAGTGTAAAGCACCTATAAATGGTAGCTTGAACTGTATGCTTCCCAGGAAGTTGAGATTGTTTCAGAACGCTCTCGGGTCTGCTGGGGTAATAGTATAGATTGTGAAGCGAATAGAGCTTGCTGTTGAGCGGGGATTTGCGCTCCACAAATTATGCTGTCTATTATTATTATTATTATTGTGTAGAAAATAGAAAAAGACTAGGAAACAAAAGTTTTTGATTACCGGCAATATCTTCCTGAGAGGCGACGACCCTCCCTGCCACAACATCCTCGCCGTCCTGCAGCTCAGCCACAACTCTGTCCATGTACGGCGACGGGTTGTTGATCAACGATGACAGGCAGTGGGCCAGGAAGGTCACGTTGGAGGTCGACGAAGCTACGTCTGAGCCTGCATTATCATCATCATCGTCGCTGTCGTCCTCGGAGAAAGCCGTGGTCATCCACACACGAAGTTCCTTCTCATGACCTTTCAGAACCTCCACGCTCTGCAATATCTGTCACTCCGCGAAAAAACAAGAAAAAAATGGGTTAGCCAAAAGTCTTTAGTTTTTCTGAACTACCATTAATTTTGTCAAATTCAAAAGTTAAGAGGTTCGGAAGTTTTAGACGGCCAAAGTGACGAACTTTCACAGATATATGTAGAGATAAAAGAGAAAATCTGTAAACATCACAGAGTGAAAAAAAAAGAACTTGAGATCTATATCTCCTCCTGCAGACCTATTAGCAATGTTGTGAAACTCACCTTAGATATCAATTGAGTAGTAAGGGACCTATGCTGCTTCGTTGAGGTTGCTGACAAAATGAGTTTTTCCAAAAGACCCTGAATGGGAAAACAAAAAGAAGAAAAGAATCATTAAAGTATTGTGTAATTTTTCTCTAGTCTCAATGGCATCATGTAACTAACAATTGAATCATTTGCACCTACCAAGATTCTACCAAGCTTCTTGAGTAAGGACAAGTCCAACAATTTCTATCTGTGCACATAGGAGAATTTCGGAGAACATAGGAGAATTCACTTCCCTTCTGGAAGAAAACACTTTTCTACCAAGAGCAACTAGGACAACTGCCTCCTCTGCATAGAACAAAACGATTGGACAATTTCCATCTCGGCCAAAGACGGCATATTTGTGAGGCAGCGTGGTGATATCAGGCGCTCGTCAAAACACAGAAATCAGAGAAACAGGAATTTTTTCACCAGTTTGGAAGTCTTTATCGAATTTTTATTTTTTGGCTCAACCTCAGTTATTTCCTAATAAAAAAACACATCTACTTGCTTATCACACGTGCACCCTTACACATCGTTACGAAATGAGCACATACAAATACACACTAAGATAACATACACAATGCAATTGACAAAATACATGAATGGATACATAGTCATTTACATATCATTGTACTGAACATGAATCTACTGATATAAAAACATCGCCGATCGGCGTTTTGTGGCGGAAGCAGAAGTTCGGCGAGAAGTGACAGCAAAGTGTTAAAGATATTTCAAATTAAGACTCTGATCTTACCTCTCTACCCAGAGCGACTTTCTTCATGTCAGTGTCCGACAACAACTTGAGCAGACACAGCTGCGGAGAACTCCCTGTGTCCTCCGTGAGATTCCCCTCCTCCCCACCGTCTACGGCACCAGACTGCGGCAGAATCGGCAGCTTGGTCACCAACTCGATGATCCGCGTCAGATTCCTCGGGCGGTCCAACAAGACGGCCGGCGACAGACGCTGGTACAGAATCAACACTTGGAGAAGTCTGGCTGCTTGCTGGTTGGCGTCTGTTGCAACGATCAAAATATGTGATGAACTTCTTTTTTAAGTTTTAGTAAGGTTTTAATTATAGTAAGAGTTTCATGGAACATGCAACAGAATAACGTCATATAGATGCTTAAAAAATTTTTTTTAGTAAGGATTTTACAGCCTTTACAACACAAGTAAGTCACATAAGTGACAAAGCAGCACAACTTGGGGGCTCCAGTGGCTAAGTGAGTAGTGAGTTTAGACTCAAGCAATGTCAAGCAAGTGTCGGTGACACGAGGATCTGATGGTGGTCACTGGGGTGTGTCCTTGAGCAAGACACGACAACCCTAGCTTAAAATACAGGGTGCTGCACAGTGGCGACCGACAGTGGCATGGCGGTAAACTGTTCTGTATTTGTGTAATAGTGAGTATTTATGTATGTATTTATGCATGTATTTATGTATGCACTTATTTATATTTATTTATTTATGTATGTATATGTATGTTTGCCATTGTAAACCAAAGTGCCCTTTTGGGACAAATAAAAGTGTAATTTACATATTTTATAACACTCACCTACTCCAGGCTCGGCCGTGGGTTCAGCGTCCTCCTGTTTGGTGAGAGAGGTGAACAGTTTGTCCACGCAGCCGAGGAGAACTTCAGGGGGAGGCAACGTCTGGACAAAAGGAAAATAAATGCTCAGACATAATTCATGTGATAGACGAGATCTTGAACATAGATCTAGCGCTCACTGGCAAAATTGAAGGCAAACGAGGCAGGGGTAGGCCTAGATGTTCTACTTAGGGAACTGAAACAAAAATGGGTGACGGGGAAAGATCAGTGAAACGTAGCTTTTTTGAGAGCATCCGAGCAAAGGAATGAATGGAGAACCATGGTCGCCGATGTCTGTCACAGATCTGGCACTGGATGATGGTGGTGATGATACAGACAAAGTTACATATATCAAAATGCGGAGAGAAATACACAGAAATGTTGCATGTAGCAAGACAAAGTATCAAAATGATGATATTTGTTGCTGTACACTTTACTGAATGGCAGTACATGTTATTATTTAAAAAAGTGACAGAAGGAGGAGAGATAATGACGACAGATGTTTGATAGGAAATAAGGATCAAACCACAAAAGAGCACCTGCAAACCACCCACAAATCTTCTACAAGGACACACACAATTGCCTGTGCCTTGGTTCTACGACAGAAACATCTGAGAACTACAACACAACAGCAACAACTACAACAACAACAGCCACCCGAGAGTCGCTTACCTTGAGGACAACAGCGACGAAAGACTCGGTCATCTCTTCTCCCTTGGTCCTCGTCGCGCCGTTCCCCTGACCTCCCTGTGAACTCAGCACGCCTAGAGCAGCGACACACTTTGTGCAGAACACACGGAGAAGTTGCAAAACCTTGTGGCGGACTCGCTCGTCCTCGTGCTGGGGACAGGGGGGGGGGAGAATACGGAGCTCAGAAACAGACAGAAAATAATAACAAATTCATTCATACCAACTGCAATGAGGTTGCTGAACACACAGTGCTACAAATGAGAGAGAGAGACAGAGAGACAGAGAGAAAGAGTGAGAGAGAGAGAGAGAGAGTGAGAGAGAGAGAGAGTGAGAGAGAGAGAGAGTGAGAGACAGAGAGAGAGAGAGAGAGAGAGAGAGAGAGAGAGAGAGAGAGAGAGAGAGAGAGAGAGAGAGAGAGAGAGAGAGAGAGAGAGAGAGAGAGAGAGAGAGAGAGAGAGAATGTTGTACGGAGCGGGTTGTCATGTATTTACTAATGTCCTGTCTTGTTGTGAGTGAGGCACCTAACCTAGAAGCAAGAACTGAAAAAAAAAAAGGTTGAGACCAGTGAAAGTTTATCAGTCATTGGAAGCATTGAAAGCATCAGCAGTACCTGTTCCACCACCAATTCTGTCCTGAAGACACCGCAATAGGTTAAAACGATTTCTGTTCTTTTCGCAATATTCTGCTAACGATGTATAATTTACCTTTACGCCCTGCGTGATGACAGAGGCAACTTTGGCCGTTGGGAGGCAGAAAACTGACGCAACTGCCAAGGTTATTGACCTGTCTACAGTGTCAGCGTTCACGTCATTTATCACCGACGACATGTCGGGCAGACCGCTGTACAGCTGTGGACCAAACAAAAACGTGTCAAATCATCTAAAAATTTTATCTGCCTCGATTCAGCGAAACTCCTTTAGTTTTAGTAAGAATTTTACAGCACTTGCAACACAATAAGGTCATATAAGTGCCGAAGATTAGAGGTGTTACAAGAGAGTAACAAACACAAAAAAGAAGGAGGAGAGATAAGGATGATACATGTTTAACGGGAAAGAAGGAGCAAACCACACCAGAGCGTCTGCCAATCACCCACGAGCTATAGTTTCCCTATGACAGGTCTACATACTAGGTGTTGTGAAGACAGCGTCAGAAAAACGCAGGTTGCAGAGAGTGCAAAGATATGACCAGTGTCGCACTTATTCACAAGAGCAAAAAATGAACTAAATGGTTTTCAGAAGGTTGCTCCTTCGAAGTAGTTCAGCTGTAAGAACGCATTTTATCGCAAATGAACAAACGACTTTTGTTTGTTTTAGTAAGGTTTTATGGCGCTCACAACTGCATAAGGTCATATGAGCGCCATGGGGTGGATGTCAACAGGGAAGTCCAAACGGGGAATCAGACTTACTCTGCTCACCTCTCTAGCCTCAACAGCACAAAGTCTGCTTAGGCTATAGAGGCACCCTGGAAATAGCAGGTCACAAGAGAGTGACAAACATACAAAAGAAGTATCAAACGACTTTCCCATCCATCCCCCGTCCCCGCTCCCTCACTCACAGAGACGACAAAGTCCATGTGGAGCTCCCACTTCCCCG